GGAAGACGGGTAGCTCGAACTCCCAAGTCCTGTCAACAGCAGACATGCAGACCTTTCCTACCGTCTTCGCCCGACTAGAACGCCCACAGCTATTATTGCTGTATGTAGACTGAATTGCACCAAATACGGCTGTAATGACCAGGCGTTCTATTTTGGTGAAGACGGTAGTTCAAGACGATGGTGTCTCAAGGCCGTTGGAAAAAAAAAACGAGAAAGAATCAGCAGCAGTGAGCAAACCGCGATCTCGCGAATGCCGGAGCCGCAGACCGTGTGTCGGGATGTGAGCACTGCATTTGGCGGGGGTCAACAATTTTTTTTTTTTTTTTTATATTATATTATATATATATATATATATATATATATATTTTTAGGGTCAACAATTATTAGTTTTAAAACTAATTAAAAAAAAAGGGGTCAACTTTTTTTTTTTTTTTTTTTTTTTAATTTGGACCATTTCTCGATTTATGCGTGTCATCCTTGCGTACGGCCCATGCAAATCTTCTTTGTATCATTCCAATTTTAAGGGATGTCCCGAAGGACAGGGTCAACAATTTGAAACGAGTGCAGTGCCCGTTACTGGACTAGAAAGAGTAAAAAAGGATTAATTAATTTCGGCACCTAACATGCACCCGCGTCCTTTTTTTTTTTTTTTTTTTTTTTTTTTTTTTTTGAGAAAAGTTTAAAAAGCCCAGAAAAAGGGCAAAAAGTGCGAAGGAGGGCATTTTTTTTAAAAAAAAAAAAAAAAAAAAAAAAAAAAAAAAAAAAGCAATGGGCCTATGGGGCAAGATACGGTTTGCAATTGCACTTCGGGCACCCTACCGGGCCAGAAAACTGGGTTGTATACATTGCCCGAACTGCAATTGGAAACTGTATCTTGGCCCATAGTGCAATTACAACTCATTTTTGTGACTCCCGGGTAGTTTCCCCTTTTTTTTTTTTTTTGGCGAGGACAACCCGAGCTGATGCTAGGGGTGCTGATAGGAGCAGGCACCGCTAGCACTCCCAGGAAGGCTCCACTTATTGGTGGGGACCACCACCTGCTGGAAAACGGGTCCAGTGTCCACCTGAACATTATAGTTGTTTCTTTGTATGAACAGACAAGTGTTTTTTAGGAATTCTCTGAGCACGGTTGCACTTTTCAGATTTGTTAGGGTTAGGAATTTCTGTTTTTAGACCTGTCATCTTTCTCTAGAATTTTTTTCCTCTTTTCGATTTTCACGTGTCAAATTTTCGGTTCCTGTTTCACAGGGGACGGGCTCGCTTGCTGGATGCAGGTGGAGGCCTCGTGGCTCCTGAATTTGAAACTTGTGCTCAATTGTATTTTTGCCTTGGGCACTGGGCCCTAATAATGAAAAAAATAAAAATAAAAAAAAATAAAAATAAAAAAAAATAAAATAAATAATTTAATAATGTATATTTTTTAAACGTGCCGTCCTGTTATGGCTGTTCACCGTGAGCGGCGGTTCACGGGTGTAGGGGCATATGAACAGCTGGTCACCGGTCACTGACCGGCCCCGGTCACGTTCACGGTGTAGACACTGCTGTACCCTCAATTTCATGAAATTTTTGCCAAAAAATGAGGTTTCAACTTCGTTCAAAAAATGTAATAATATGTCCATTGTAACGAAATCGCTGTTCTTTTACCTTCATTAACTTGTTCATTAAGGGTCTGATCTGACACTTCTCAGGTTTGGATCCCACAAGGCACTTATAACAAAATACCGGAAAATCCCCTCCAGAGCAGGGTCCTTGCCTTTCGGTCCATAATTTTTTTCCTAATCCTGCAGGGCTGTCCTTCTATGGGTATCACAAGAGGTCTGGCGAAAAGCGGTCGGGGTGCCAGGGACATGCGGATTTCTATACGTCCGTCGTCAGATCTGTGCTACAAACAAAAAAATGAACTACTTTCGGCCTGCCTGCTTTTTGGGGTAAGGGTAGAGGGGTGGGCGCTTTTGGGAAACCGTTGCTGCTTCATGGCCAGGGTTGCGGCTGTTGACTCAGAGACATGTAGCCATCAAAGAGTAGAAACAGGAGGAATTTTTGAGGGCCCCGATGCCCCCGGTACCATGTGGGGTCCCCCTTGAAGTTCAAAAGTAAGCAGTTAATCCCCTCCTAGGAGGGCAATCGATGCTGCTCATCATTACACATCAGATTAAAGTGCATACGCTGATACCACGCATGGCGTGGGGGCGCAGCCAGGACGGCGGGGGAACCGCTGAGCTCATACAAACCAGTCCCATCTCACCTTGCAGGTGGAGACGATATGCCCTCGGTAGTCCCTCGGTAGACAGAACGCTGCATCGAGGACCTGGCGAGCCCGGCCGACGGGAGGGGACTACGGTAGCCGGCAGCTAGTAGCACGGGACTAGTGCACTTCCCTAGAACGAGGACAGAAACATTGCCATATTTTGCAAAGCGAAAAAAAACTCTGGTCCCCTTGATCTCGGTGGAGAATGAACAGCCAGATAATCATGAAAACCTTTCCCATAGTAGAAATGGCGGAATGACCAGACGCTCACCACCATTTCCCACGAACGCCGCCACTTTCCCTCACAAGGCTACCGGTCGGTGCCCGGTTGTTCTCTCGAAACGCCACTTCTTCCAACCCCGCCTTTTTGTCGAAATACGGGCCTGGGAGGGATGGTCATCCCATCTCTCCTTTTTTTTATTTTTTATTTTATTTTTTTAAGCCCTTGTGCAAGGTCACGATCCCAGTGGTGGTACGAGAACCGCCGAGATTGAGGCTTTGCCTGACCGGCTGCTCCATCTATTGGTGGGGAGCGGCACCTGCTGGAAAGGGTCCAGTGTCCCAATAATCCCCAATTATACAACTTCTGAGAGTCAATACACAGTGTTGTTACGATCCTGGTCATTTCCCAAGTGCAATTCACAATGAAAGACAATGCCACCAAATTGCGAAAGAAATGAAAGCACTTGCAAAGAGATATGGACCAGAGGAGAAAGAAGAAGAAGAAGAAGAAGAAGAAGAAGAAGAAGAAGTACACCAGCAAGACAAATGACAACTCCCCCTTCTCTCTCCACCTTCCTCCTCCTTCCAACTTCCCCCAATCTTATTCCTCTTGCAATAATAATAATAACAACAATGAATGAATGATCCAGAATCAATGTCCGAAGTTCCCCCTCACTGCTGACTCATACATYGGTCCACCATAGCCATGGCTCCTCCTCCTCTCATCTCTCTAAGCCTAGGCTATGGCGGACTACTTGGGCCTAGCCCTGATGTGCAACGGCCAACCCCAAAGCAGCTATGGTGCTGCTTGCTGCTCTGCCATGCCTGACCCTGCTCGGACCTCCTTGGTGCCGTACTACCCCAGCGGGGGCCTTCCAGATGCAGCGCCCTACCAGGTGATGAAGATGGAGTCCACCATAGCCAGGTAAGTACCTCGCCACTCTCCTACCTTACCCCCTTCTTCCTCCTCCTCAAGCTGGACCGCTCGCCATAGCCAGGCTGAGCTCCAGCTGCCTTCAACTCCAAGCAGCGCTGTATGGACCAGCGCTGCGCTCCAGCAGCATGTCGCCAATCCTTGCACACCGCAAATGAGGAAGAGCCTCTGGCTCTTCCTGAAGATATAGCGGCCTACCGGCCTCCTGGGCGGTGACTTCCTAGGCCGAGCGGCCTCCCAGCAACCGGTACCTCCTCACTTTCGGAGGGAAACATCATTGCAGGCTCTGTTATTGTCCGGACAGGCCCTAGACCCGGGCTACTTGGACTGGTACCGGCYTACCTCTAGCCTACCGCTACTGGGCCTCTAAAAATGCCAACTTTTGTCTTCTTCTGCTCGGCCTACCTGATACTTGAGTGTTTTTCCCCAGCTGCTCTAAGTGCCGTGGGCCTACCCCCGCTACCTGCGTGTTAACCCCCCCTGCAACCCTTCAAAGTCACGGTCACAGGTAAGTACCGGCCCTGCGGGGCCTTGCAACCAACAGGTNAAAAAAAAAAAAAAGGAGTGCCGCCACCTAGAGATAGGCCGTTGGTCCCCCCGAGTGGCATTTTGCAGAGACTGCTGATGGTCTTAAGGGGAGGGAACTGGAGGAGAGGTACAGCGACTGGCCCATCGAAGAAGGTTCCGGTTGAAAAAACAAAGAAAAAAGAAAAACGTAAAAAGGAGTGCCGAGTCTATTTTATAAGACAGAGAGAAAGGGAGGAGAAGGGAGTGAGCAAGGAAGGAAGGAAGAAAAGGAGGGAAGGAATCAGGGCATACTCACTCTAGGTCTTTCTCTGCCAACATCTGGACGCGATTGCGGTCAGATTCGTCCACGTCGCGCCGTAATTGCTCGTGTGAGTATGTTCCTCCGGAGGCATTGCGATCATGCTGATACATAGACAGGAGCAAGAAGGAAGGAAGGAAGGAAGGAAGGAAGGAGATGGATGACAACGAGATATGGAGGTCGCCAAGGCGATGGTAATGTCAAGGTCGGAGACGACGATAGGTGAGAAGCGCGCTCTGGAAATTGAAGGAGACTCGGTGTGATGATATGGTAGGAGGAGAAGGGCGGCAAATTTCGTGCAGCGGGAGCGACACTCGGCGGGAACGCTAGATCATACTCGCACATTTTCGACAGAATCTGGCCGTAAGTGCGATCAGATACATGCGGGAATACCCTACCGGTACTAGTGTTAGTCTGCCCTTAGGAATTTCGCAAGTGTTCCACTGAGTCGAAGCTTCTGGTCGACGCGTTGACAAATAATTCGCCGGCCGACCAGTCGCCGACCGACTGCTGGCGCTGCTAACGTGGCGGGAGGATTGGTGTCCGTGTCGTCACCTGCTTCGCTGGGTGAATTGGCGCCAATAAAGGGGACTTGGCGCCAAACCCGGTTCTCGCGCCTATTGCCGCAAACACTCGAAACCAGACAGGTGATCGAAACGCTCTGGTTGTCGAGATCTGCATGAGTTCGATTCCGCTGTATACTCGGTTTGTGTCTTCCGTTCTGGATCTCGCGTCGACGATCGGCATCGTTATAAACGGAGTAGGGAGGTGCGAAATACAGAATGTAAATGTCCGGTCTTTGCCTCAAAATCGCCTGTTCGGGCTCTGGTTGACCCTAATTTATACCGATCACCATCCATTAGGAGGAGATACGACTTCCCGTGAAATCGCCTCCCACTGTACAGTGTCGATGAGAGAGAGAGAGAGAGAGAGAGAGAGAGAGAGAGAGAGAGAGAGAGAGAGAGAGAGAGAGAGAGAGAGAAGTAAGTTCGTCCGAAGAAGGTTGGTAGCTCTGTGAGCTGCTGTTGTCGTAGTACACAGCAACCGACCAGAGAGAGAGAGAGAGAGAGAGAGAGAGAGAGAGAGAGAGAGAGAGAGATTGTTGTAGTTGTAGTACAGAGCAAGCGACTAGCTATGGCGCAGCCAAAGCGGTTCGCTATTGGCGTTGACCTGGGCACGTCGTTCTGTTGCGTAGCAGCGATGACCCAGAACAGGGTGGAGATCATACCCAACGACATGGGCAAACGGATAACGCCATCGTACGTGGGATTCAGTCAGACGGACAGAATGGTGGGAGAAGCAGCAAAGGCGTTTTACATGAAAAAACCCAAGAGCACGTTTTACGAAGTCAAGCGTCTAATCGGTCGCAAATTCACCGACGCTGCCGTATCTGCCGACTCTACTCGATGGCCGTTCCAGGTCAAATCCAGTCCCGGTGGGGAAGTCCTCTTGTCGGCGGAAGGAGTGGGCAAGGACTTCACTCCTGAGGATATCTCTGCCCATTTACTGGCGCATATGAAGGACTTGGCGACTAGGTTCCTGACCACCAGCAGCGAGGAGCCCCCTGTCATCGCCGACGCTGTAATCACCGTCCCGGCGTACTTCAACGACGCCCAGAGGCAGGCGACGAAGGACGCAGGAGCGATCGCAGGGCTGAATGTGCTCGAGCTGATGAACGAACCCACCGCCGCCGCTCTGGGCTTTGCTTATCAGAAGCTATTCAGGGATGGAAAGCGAACGGTGTTGGTCTTCGACCTTGGCGGCGGCACTTTCGATGTCTCGATAATGACGATAGAGGGCTACGYGTTCGAGGTCAAGGCGCTGGCAGGGGACACSCACTTAGGAGGCGCGGACTTCGACGGCCGACTGATGGAGCACGTGCTCAGCAAGTATTTGCAGAAGTACCCCTCCTCCAATATCCGAACGAACGGCAAAGCCCTCCGGCGCYTKCGAGAGGCTTGCATGATGGCCAAGATCGACCTCTCCACTCGCTTATCCACCAACGTCTTCATCGACGAGAACGAGTGCGACATGGACATTGCCATAAGCCGAATCGAATTCGAAAMTCTGAACATGGACTTGTTCAAGAAGTGCATCGAGTGCGTGGAACKGGCGCTTATGGAGGCGGGCTTGAGGAGGGAGGAGGTGACCGACATCGTGCTCGTCGGCGGATCGTCGAGRATCCCCAAGGTCCGAGAGATGCTGGAGACCTTCATGGGCACGAGGCCGCTGTTGTGTRTGCATCCTGACGAAGCAGTGGCGCACGGCGCCGCGATCCAGGCGGCGCTCAGACTTGCAARRAGTCACGYGGCCCCGCCAGAAGAGTTGGCGTTCAAATGTGACGAGCTGAAGGAGGTGGTCCTCACCGACGTCGTTCCGCTCAGCATCGGACTCGATCTCAACAACGGCCGGATGAGGGTCATGATTAGGAAGAACACGAAGAAGCCGGCGTCGGGGARKTGCACGCTTGTGACGAGCAGAGATAAYCAGACCAGCATGCTCTTTCCTGTCTATCAAGGGGAGCAGGAGYTCGCTGTGGACAACGACTACCTTGGCTCGTTCACGTTGTCGGGATTCGAGCGGGCCCCGAAAGGACACGCGTCGGCGGAGGTGACCTTCCACATCGA